TGTCAAGGCTTGCCTGAAAGCAGCATCAGATCACTAGGTCCGACCGGTTTGACCGTTTAAACAAAAACGGCCTAGTATTTTAACAAGACCGAAAACTTGACACAAGTTTACTTAAATAACAAATTATTACCACATGGTGTGAATTTAGGTGATTTTTTTAACACATAAAATGGCACATAACGACATTTTTAACATCTGTGGGTTGGTATATAGGTATAAGCCCATTGAGGAATTCAGATTTTCAGTCTTTTCAAATGAAGTACAGTCAGAATTCTAATGACTATTGGGTGAACAAACTAAATAGCACAACACTAAATAATTATACCCAAATGATTTACAGATAAAAGTGAACTGATAGAGAATATAATGTAATAAGGAGTGTTTTACTCATTTCTCAGTGACAAGGAAGTGGCGGTGCCCTGAGCTAAAGTCGGAGACACAGAAGCCCGAGTACAGGATGGGCCACACAGCCACATATGATCCCATGGTCAAGTGTATATATGTGTATGGAGGCTCCAAGAACCTCAAGTGGTTCCATGATGTACATATGCTGGACATAGACGAGTGGAAATGGCAGCTACTCAAGGTAATTATAAGCCTTTGGAAACTCTTTTTGATTTTTAGGCTGCAAAATAGAAGGTAAGGATGGACATTTTGAAATATGTAACAAAGCTAAAATTTAATCTAAGCAATTTTGGGACGTAAAAAATTTATCAGGGATGAAGATATTTTTTATAATGTCAAACATTTTACAATCAAAAATTACAGGCTACATGCACATAAAGAGCTGTCTGGTTGGATTAGACAAGTCATTTGCAGACAGAATATTTGCCAGATTGAACCGAAGGTACTGACAAAGTGGCAATAAGGGGAGGGAACTATAATATTTTAGGATGAAAATTATGTGACATGTCTATTCATATTATCTGTGTTTCATTGCCAGGTGTCTGGTAAAGCCCCAACGCGAGCCTACCACAGTGCGACACTGTACCGTAATGAGCTGTGGATCTTCGGTGGCGTGTATCCCCGACCAGACCCCCAGCCTGATGGCTGCAGTAACGATGTGCACATCTTCTCTCCTGTCATGGAGAGTTGGTACACACCCATCATCAAGGGAGACAAGCCCATTGCCAGATCTGGGTATGTCAATATTCTGCCTATGCTTATGCTCATTCAAAATAGAGGGAAAATTGAAAATATTTCATTAATGTTTCAGAATTGTGAAACACTTGACAGAAGAAATTGGGCATGGTACAACAGATTCATCAATAAACATTGCAGATTAATATCAAGAATAACAAACCATGTCAATATATTTTAAGATTTGGTAAAATTAGCATTAAACGCCTCCGTCAACTCTTGATAGTATTACACTAGGTAATGGATATATTGTCAATGCTCTTTGATGACAAATATGCTGTTTGTGAATTACCTGTGAGGTATATACATCGGATCAGATCTGGACACTATTAACTGATTTATACATGTTTTCAGCCACTCGGCCACGCTGATGAAGGACCAGCTGGTGGTGTTTGGAGGCTGGGATGCTCCTTATGTGTACAACGACCTTCATATCCTTGACCTCAGTACGTGTAATGCTTTATGCCTTTTCAGCATTAGCCTTTTAGTGTAATTATTTTGATTTTGTTTGTTGCTTGAGTTTGCTCTGTTTACAGTATATGTAGTTGTTTGTTGACAAATTGATGAGATTTCTGTAATGTTTAGAAATATTTCTATATTCCCCATGGTAAAAAATAAATAAACTCAAATGTATGCTTTCTTGTCCCTTAATACAACAAAATTGTTATAAAAACTTAAACCTCCGACAATAGAACTCATCACAACACAAACTATTGTAGTATAAAGGACGACAAGACATAATAGCTGTAGATAAATAATCATAAAAATGTTTCCTCCTCCCCAAGTTGAACAATTATATCCAGAAGAAACCTGTTAAGATGAGTATCTAAGTGTAGCTTACTTGTGCTTGCTGGCTACATGCTATATCATTTCATGCACATAAATACACATCATCACTGGTAATATTCTTCATAAATATTCACATTTGTGTTTTTGTCAAACAATTGTTCATTCAAATTTCTCATTTCAGGTATGGTGGAATGGTCTCAACCCAAAGTCTCTGGTACTCCACCTAATCCACGCAGGTATGTCATCAATTTGGAAGTTTCTGCATTCAATTTTGTTAGGTGACCTATGAATACATGGTCCATACAGGCTATGAAAAAGCTTAAATTGAGGTCATTGCTTGGAAAATGTATGCATCCTTGAATTTGTTGTTTATGGGTTGAAAAGAGCTGGAATATTTTAAAATTATTTACCAGAGACAACTTAACGTTTAAAAAAATGAATACATATTTTTTCAATTTAAATATGACCTTGAGCTAAGTACCAAATGCTATTTAGGAACAGATTATTAGTAAATTGGCCAATCTGCAGAGAGTTACTGATTGTACAGTGTACCTTTAATATATTTTCATTGTCAGAAATAAACGTTAGTTGATTTAGACAAAAATTCAGATTGGATAGAGCTCGGGTTAAACAGTGTATTGCATATTGTTGCAAACTTAAAACATAACCTCCTCTTTCTCTAGAAATCGGCTAAAAAACTCCAAGCTCCTGGTAGAAGTAATGCTATAATGTTATTTTCAGTTAAAAGTTTTTGATTGTGATTTGTTCTGTTAAATCTCTGACAGATGTCTTTTGATCTGTGACATCACAATGTTGGAAAATTTAGTGATTTAGTGTTGTTAATCTGCTCTCAACAGCTGGTTTTCCTATCATACTAGTAGGTGGTATATGAGAGCATGTATAATTCAATCAATAACAAAGTCGCATACATTCAACTAATTCGTCTGTTTGTTTTTCCAGTTGGCATGCTTCCTCTGCACTGTCTGGAAACAGAATACTCATTCATGGTGGCTATGATGGCAATGTGGCCCTAGATGACACCCATGTCTTCTGTCTTGGTACGTAACAGATTATCAAGATGATGAATAGGGAAAATATAAGGTTTTCATGGAAATAGATGAAAAGAAGAAAGGTTGATTCTCTCATGTGATAGTCCGTTTCTCACAGCTTCAGAGAAGTGAAGTTGTG